CAATTTTAATTGAATTTTCGTGTAAACAGCGTGAGCTGACCAAACACCACTTCCTCTGTAGCGCTTCTGCCTCTCCCTCTCCCTCTCTCTCTCTCTGTAGCCAGCCACATGTGCTGCCAGATTGCATAATTCTTGCGCATAAGGGGAAAATGTGGAAACACAACAACAAAGCGTCTGAGCAAAAGGAAATGTATAGAAAAATCATTAACGCTCAGACAAAAGATAACAGCGAACGCCTGTTGCATGGGCCAAACTACCTGCCACGGCAACTGCGGCAGCCGCCTGGCACAAGTGTCTAACGGCTATGCAAGGCGCATGTGCAGCAGCCGGCGTTCGTCTGTCCGTCCGTCCGTCCGTCCGTCCCACGTCATCCGCTCTCGCCGTCAACGCCCTCATGGGAACCAAACACCGATCCCTGCCCAGCCGTTGCATTTCTTTGGGCAGAGCTCTTCCGGCATTCGAGAAATTTATGTCACTGATTGGCAATACACACACGCACACACACACACACACACACACACACACATGTGGCAGGTCGATCCTTTTGTGGCAAGTCCTTTTGTTGGCATTTTGCGCGCGTCATGTCAAGCCGTTTGGGTTATTGATAGCAGCAGGTGCAGCCAGAGCGCTCTGCCTACAGTGCACACTGCCTAACAGCGCCACAGGCAGTCAGCCAGTCAGTCACTCAGCCAGTCAGCCAGTCGCTCAGGCAGTTAGCTCAGCAAGCTCAAATTACGCTGTCGCCGCTAAGCGACAATCAAAGGCTTCCCCCCAGTAATGAGTGAGCAGTGAGTGCCGCAGTGGCAGTGGCAGTGCGAGGGGAGGGGGAGGGGTAGGGCGCAGGCTGTGCGTCTGGTGGCAGCTAAAGACAAAAGCTAAAGCGATGCATTGGCATGTCAGTTATGCAGCTGACTAAATTACGTTTGCTCCGCACACTCCGCACTTACAGCAGCAGCCATTGGAATGTGCTAGGTGGCTTAGCTGATGCACTGCCAGATACCCTGTAAAAGGCTTGGCCACTGAAGCCTTGGCCTATGCTGCTGACAAGATTATATCTCAGTAAGCAAAGGCTTTCATTTGAAGATGATTTAGTTTAGTTCTAGCTTTGTAACTAGTTCTCAGATGCGTAAAGTATTCTTGCCCAACATTTGAGCTCTACTAATCTTTGAGTTCATTTAGATTGGTCCTTTGGGATCCGCAGATTGAAATAGTTTTAAGAAATAAATAATCTTGTTTCATGTTTAGTAATAGAGTATCTAATAAGACAAATTTGATAGCTCTAGCTTCTATAGTCGCTGAGTTAATAAGGATAAGCACTAAGCTCTAATAACTCAAATATAATTACCAAATGTGAACACTCTAGCAGCAGCAGTTCCTGAGTTTCTTTAGACAGTAAAAGAAGTCAATGCTATGCCATGATATAAGAAGATAAAATATAGCTAATATCCTCTTACATCTCTCTGGCGCATGCCCTCCCACTGATGCCACCCTCTTGGCACTCAGCCCATGCTTACAGGGTATACAAAATATTGTAAGAGTCATTGTCATCTTTGTGGCAGTGCAGCTTCCGGTGCTCAGCTCTTGTGGCGCAGAATTCCAAGCATGCCCCCAGCCACATGAGGCATGACAAGCAGCGTTTGCTGCTGTCTCGCTGCCACTGCCACTGCCCCATTCTACTGTTGCTGCTACATCTTTTTTCGTTGAGGTTGTGCGGGTTAATTTGATTCAATTAAACGAGCGTGCGTAAAACCCTTTGACAGCTCTTAAAGCAGCTAGCCCGAAAAAAGAGTAGTCGAAGCTGAGCTTAGCTGCTGGACAGCAGCAATGGGGCTTCAAAAGTTGCACAGTGCTTGCCGCATCACGTTGCATGGTTGCCTTTCATTTGTCATCGCTCTCAACTTCCGCTGCGCCCTTTGGCGTTTGCCGTTTGCCGTTTGGCTTTTGGCTTTTGCCTTTTGGCTGCTGCCGCTGCTGCTCCATCGTCTACTGCTGCCTCCTCCTCCCCTTGCACTTTGACACACATGAAGCTAATTGTTTGTGGAGCGCGCGCGCGCGTGCTGCTGCGAGCAGATTAAAAAGTGTCGTCGAGTAGGCAGCGGAGGGCAGAGCAAGGCTTGGCACGTTACCTTCCCCACGTGTGCTGACCCCACCCCTTTTTTGCTCGCCTTAAACCGGATATCCGCCTGAAGTTTTGTTTTCTATCTTGTCTTATGTTTTTCGCAGCTGCGTAAACTTTCTTGTCGAGTCGGCAGCTTGTTTATCTCTGGCCCTGATTTCGGTTAGCCGAAGTGAGGGAGACATGTATGCTCAAGGAAACACACACGCACACTCACACTCGCCTATTTGCTTACCAATATGTTCGAGTGTACATACATATATTTAACGGTTTCTGCGAAGAGCCACTTCCAACTACCCTCAGTTCCAGCAGGAGCTGGGTAGAGGGGCCAATCGATATACACGCTCGAATTTCAAAGAATTTCCCACGCTGCTTACAGCACACAGAGAGCTCCTCACATAATGCATATGTATATACATACATAGAGATTTCTATATATATATATATGTGTGTGTATTCATATCCTGTCAGATAGCACGACAAAGGTTTCCCTCAAGTGCTCAAAAGTCTGAAACAAAGCTTTGGGCATATGAAGAAAATGTTTGAAAAATTTGTCAACGCGAAAGGGTTAAGGATCAGAGAGCACAGCAGAGGCAGGAACTAGCTGCAGCGGCAGCTGGCAGGCGGGGCCAGGTGACGCCTACACGCCACAGAAAATATAGGTCAAAAACGCGTGGGAAACGCGCGCGATTTGCTGGTTTCGAAATGCGGAAGTAAATTGTGAGCGGAAGTAAATAAAACTAATAAAGCAAGGCAGAAGGACAACTTCCGCAACAGAGAGCAGAGAGGCAGCCAGAGCGAGGGAGAGCGCGAGAGATGGGCACAGTCAGAGCCACAGAGCTAAAGGTAAAAGGTCAGATAGGCAACCTGTTTGGCTTTGGCTTTGCTATGCTTCCGGTGCCAGTGCTAATCCCTTTTTAAAGAACACACACACGTGCGTCTGTATTAGTGAGCGAGTGTATCTGTGTGTGTGCGTGTGCGTGTGTTTGCTGCACTTACATATTTATTTACTTCCGCCAGGCGGTCGCCTGCACTAAATCACTTCCGGACTTCCGGTTCGTCACGGACGCGCTAAGTAGTAGAGGCAAAGTCAGAGCGAGACAGGGAGAGAGCGAGATTGAGACAGGGCAGCAGGACGCTCAGGTAGCTGTGCCCCAGGGCAGGTGCAACTCACTCAACCACGCCTGGAGACAGCCTATTGATTTCATTATAAAAATAATTTGAATACAAATCAGAAAGAGCCCAGGCAAGAAATACACACACAGAAAATCAAATTGAAATCGAAACCAAACAAAAGATCAAAACAACAAAATGAAGCAAATTAAAGTGCTGCTTAGCGGGCAGTGATGAGCTACGAAATACCCTATAAGCCAGTGGTGTTATATACAGAAACTAGATCTATATTGCAAGACAGAGCGAGTCAGTTCACACTCAGTCTTTGATTAAGATTTTAGTCAAAAAAAGTTTTTTTTTGCTATCTGACTTAGAGATCTGGACTTAGAGATAGACGTTACATATGTTGCTATATATCAAAAATGAAGACTATAACTGTAAATAATGCTTCAAACTTGCGTAAATCGCTTGACTTATGCAGAAAGTTAAATACTTTGAGTCTGACAGACCGACAGACAGTCAGCTCTTCCATATGCCTCCCTTATACATTGATCTACAGGGTATCTGAAAATGCCCAGCCCAAAACATAAGGACACAAAACAGCAACAGCAACAGCAACAACAATATCAAGAGAGATGTCAAAAAGGTACCAGTTGAAAGAAGTTCCACTTAAAAAATTGATTGCTTTCGATAATTTCATTGGAAATGTGTTGTTGTTGTTGCCGCTCATGTGAGCGTGTTGTTGTGTGTCGCCAGAGAGCCATACAATAAAATCAAATGAGAGGGGCGAATGACAGTGGAGTCGAGGCGGAGCAGCTCATAAAGGGCGAGCGAAACGAAAACAAGAACTAAAAATCTGCAGTTGCTAGTTGGATTTTATGTTTATAGCGCAGAACTGGAATACAGGAATAGAACAGGCACGACATAAGCTTTTATGTGAACCAGGAGAGCTGGGAATGAGCTAGGATTAAGTAAACAAGGTGTAAGAACAACGGACAACAATATGCGAAGCGTTAGGAATTCAATTAAACGAAAAGTATCTGCTTAGGATGTTTGCAGAATGGACTCCCAAGCAAACATACAGTTAGAGAAGGGGCATTAGATATGCTCTACTTGGGACAGACACATATATTAATCAAGCAGCTGTTTACCCAACAGAACTTGGGGTCTTGTCTGGCACACACACTGCTCTCTTAAGGGGAAATTGAGTATATGTGGGCGAAAGGTTAAGGCGTGTGCTTTGGACTGAATCAGACTGAAGCTGCTAGATGTAGGCCTAGGTCCAAGCGTAGAACAAGTGTTGAGTATAAAATAACTCAAATTATGTTTGTGAGGAATCCTTAGGACTTTGGCTGTCATTTCCGAGGGATCCCTAAGTCGATTGATATGGTTTCCGAGAGATCGCCAAGGTTATATACTTTATCCATTCTCTCTTCTCTACTCTCAATCAACTCGGTCTTAGCACAGTGTAACTCACAATCAGTATCTGCTTTCGACTTCTACTCCTGTTAGCGTCTGCCCTCAACCCTTCGATTAGCTTTTCTGCCTAGCTGCTGTTTCCTTGAATAGCCTATAAAAGGGCTCTTCAAACTTAAAGCAAACTCAATGCTCACCTCTTAACCTCACCTACTACGGCAGGGACAGTTGTTGGCAATTCTATGAATGAAATTATTTGAATGAGTCCTTCAGATTCTATGGCTATGCAAATGTGGCACAGCAATAAAACCGAACTCAATTGGTCACAAACTAAGTTTTCTCGTCTCCTTTGCAGGACTCAGAGGCCGATTTGCCTGTGTGTGCACCGAATGCGGTTTGCTCCAAAATCGATCTGTACGAGACACCTTGGATAGAGCGCCAGTGCCGCTGTCCCGAATCGAATCGCATGCCCAACAATGTGATCGTGCATCATCATGAGCACGGCCACGGCCTGCCCGAGGGTCAGAAGCATCGCAGCTACTACGAAAAGGAGAAACACAAGCGTTTGCTGCTAGGCGACGGACTCTACCGGGACAAGCGCTACGAGAGTTTACATTTGAAGAAGCTGATGCAAAAGCTGGGCGCTGTCTACGAGGACGACCTGCAGCTGCAGTCGAGCGACTATGTGGAACGCTCGCCCGACTATAATGAGGCGCTGCCACCCAGCTACGAGCAGGTGGCGGATAATGAGCTGCCACACGTGCCGTCGCGTGGTGGCACGCATATGCGACACTCGGGTCATCGCGGCCAAAAGGAGGCGACCAGCTTCATAGGCGGCTGCCCCAGCAGCCTGGGCGTAGAGGACGGACACACCATAGCGGACAAGACCAGGCACTACAAGCTATGCCAGCCCGTGCACAAGCTGCCCATTTGCAAGTGAGTCGAGAGTAAATGAAGTTGTAGATGAAGGTTAGCTAATCCTGCTTTGCTTTGCAGACACTTCCGTGACTACACCTGGACGCTGACCACGGCCTTGGAGCTGAATGTGACTGAGCAAATAGTGCATTGTCGCTGTCCCAAGAACTCGGTGACCTACCTAACCAAACGAGAGCCGGCACCCAATAGTTCAACAGCCTATCGCTATCTATTCGCCTGCTCGCCGATGACAGTGAGTAGCACAGCTTGAATAACCCAATCCTCTCCAGCCTAACTTTAACTCTCGTTCTGTCTTCCTTTAGCGTCTGCGTTGTCAGCGCAAGCAGCCCTGCAAGCTGTTCACGGTGCGCAAACGTCAGGAGTTTCTGGATGAGGTCAATATCAATTCGCTGTGCCAATGTCCCAAGGGTCATCGCTGTCCCAGCCATCATACACAGTCGGGCGTCATAGCGGGCGAAAGCTTTCTCGAGGATAATATAGAAACCTATTCCGGCTACTGCATGGCCAACGATTGAATACTATCTATGGATATATACGTGGGTTTATAGGTTTAGCTAGCACTATGCATATAAGTCGACTGAGCCAATTGAGTCTCGCCAAGTTAACAATTAAACTGAACCAGAAAACTATACAAACTACAACTAATATGTGTGAGAGAGTGTGTGGGTGTGTGTGTGTATGGGTGTGTGAGTGTGTTGTGTGTAAAGGTTCTTTTGTTGTTCATATTGAAGTGAAACATATAATAATAATATCTATATGCATACGAATATTTAATTAGTTCTAAGACGCAGTTTTGTTATACAAATCATTTGTAATGAATATTTATAAAGAGCGTTATCCTAACTCTATACAACCCACTTTCCAAAACTCTATCTCTAACATTAACTGTATATATTTGTACGAAATTTGTATTTTATTTTAAATATAATAATTGCGCTTAAGACTCCAATTCCAACTTCGTATAAATCCCTTAAGTGCCAAATTAAGCAGCAGAAGAAGAAATAAAATTGAAAATATTAAAAAACAGTTTGAAACTGCAGAAAAACGTAAATAGAAACAAAAATATGTTTGCTTTAATATTTTTACGAAAATATTTATATAAATACTTTACTATATATAAACACTTAACTATAAAAATGAAATTCTTCCAAAAATTGTAAAATTGTAAAAGTTGCTTCATAAAAAAGATTCTAATCTAATTCCCCTTGAATACGTTTCTATTCAAGTATTTTGGCTATTTAAGAATTAGGCATTCTCTAATTATTATTTTATAATAAATACATAAACATTTCTTTTGTATAGAGACCAAAACGAGCAACAAAAAAAAAAAAATTAAATTTAATAAAATAATTATGTATACTGGAAGAAGATTATTCTTTTCTGAAATGTTTTATTTCAAATAGTAAATTTGAGTAGAATGAAGTTGAAGATATTCTTACTAAAAATTCTAGGTTGATTTAAGTATTATTTATTTGAGGATGATTTGATATCAGCTACGATATATGAATCAACTGAAAGTGAGGCTTTCATAAATAAATAAATAAATTAAATAATATAGAGTACATATTCATATGAAGAAAATATATAACATATATATCTTTATACATATCTGTACTAAATTCGAGTAAAAATTTTCCATTCATTTTTATTTATTTTTGTTAAGGGTGTTTAGCTTAGCCAAGTTTGCATGAGCCTTTCTTTACATAAGAAAAGTCTACAAATTGTTTTTTCTATTAAAACATGAAGTTTATTTAAGAAAAGTAATAAATGAATGAATGATTAAACAACTTTTAAGTCAACTGCGACTCAAGCGAAACCTTTTTCATGCGCCGCCCCAAAGTAGGCAACCAAAATTTACAAGCTCAAACCAGAGGCAACTGTGTTGGTGTGAAACTTAGCTAAGCAGAGAATGCAGCAACCAGGAAGAAGTACAGAGAACTGAGCTAATATGAACATAAATGAAATAGAATAAATCAAGCAAACAAAAGCAATGCAATGTTTATTCAAGCAAAAAGTTGACTTCCTGGTCAAAAGCAAATAGAAACCAAGCTAAAAAGAAAGACAAAGCTGAAAAATGCAAATGATTAATGTAAAACCAACTGAAGAAGAGAAGGTAAATAGCTGGCTAGAAAGCCAACTGAAGCAGATAAACCGAGTGGCCGAGTCAGTGAGCGGCAATATAATTAAATAAATAGCGCAGCAAATAGACTGGACGCGAGAGGCTGGATCTGGCAACGGGATTGGAGATTGGGGCGTGGCAGCTGGGCAGGCGCTTGGCCATGCCGCAAATTCAATTAACGCGCGACGATGCCCAGAAATGAAAACATAAAAAGAAATAAGTAACCGAGAGTGAAAGAGTGGAGAGAGGGCAAAATTATCAAGAAACAAGCATATAAAAAAGTTTCGAGTGTAAAAAACGAGGTGTAAAAACAGCGTGGCGAAAACCCACAAAAAAAAAAATTCAAGAGGAGAAAAAAAAGTAAATCGTAAAAGCCAAGCAACAACAAGTGCTAACATAGCCATAGAAGAAAGAGGAGCAGTTTTTTTTGGTTGGTTTTTTATGACGCCAACCGGAAGCTGAGCGCGTTAAAAACTTGACTCGAAGCAACTGCAGCACAGGCAACAGCAGCAGCAACAACAACAGCAAATAAGAGTTGTAGCGATGGGCGTCATGGACCTTTAGTTACTCTAGCAGTTGCCTTCTGTAATTTATGTTGATGCTCTTTGTCTCTTATGCAATTTTGTGGCAAACTATTAATGTTATTTTGAATTACTAGGGTATCTGGTAAGCTAATCAATAAAAAGAAGTAATTATAAGCTACACTAACTTTACAGAAAACCACATACCAAATTTAGTGTTTCTAATTTTTATAGTTTTCGAGTTATGTTCCATAAATCAGTTGCGAAAATAGATTTAAATATGATATGACAGATATGTAACCTCTTCAAGAACTCATACATTCGGCTTAGAAAATGATTTTCGTTTATTTCAAATTACAAAATATTTAAAAATAAAAAAAATTATATTCAATTTATTTTGGTCCAATAGGACCACATTTTGGCTTGACTAGAGTCTTGAGACGTTCAAGCATTGAGCATAATAATAAAAGCTACAACTTTATATAACTATATATATTTCAAGTCTATCTGCTTAAAAATGATGTGAATTATTTTAAGATATTACAAGAGCTCTATATATCATATATAATAATGCACATATAAATTCTTAACTTTGTCTCCTTCCTAAACACTAAACACTGCTGTCTATGCCCTGTCTCTGCAATACGCCTCTTCTTACCTCATATTGATGCGCCCAGGGTATACCAATACAACTCGCCCTGCCGCACAGTTAGCTGACATTGGAAGATTTGAGAGATTTGAACCCTGGCTTAGCTGCAATTACAGTGGGCATATATGGTCTTAGAAATGCATAAAACGCCAAATTATTAATAATAATAAAAACACAAACACACCTACCCATACACATACACATACATATGCATGTATATCCACTTTTAATGACCCATTAAAGTGCGTCTAATTGGGCGACGTGAGCTGTAGAAATACCGTAAAAGATTTTACTCTAGGCCCAGCGCCGAAACGAACTCCACCTACTGCGCCTCTGCTCAGGTTCTCAGGCAGACAGAATGGGCACAGCGCTAAGACAGTTCGCGGCATTACGCTGGGCTACCAGCCACAATCCCACTCCCTCCATAAGCCAGCCAACTGAGGGGCCACTGCAGATGAGGCGTTAATTAGAGTTTAAGCCTCAACGAGCAGCACTTTTTTGTTTTTATTTTATTGTATACATAGCCTGAACCCATTGCAATTGGTTAACCTAGCTATAATGGCTGTGTGAAAATGTATGTAACGCGAGACGGCCTGACGAGTTGATCTAGGCTTGTTCTTCTATATATCATAATTTATCAGCGAAAATTATAGATCTAACTGTAACTGAAGAGTGATCTTATCTGATCTGATCTTCGATTCTGATCTTGACTTTTTAACCTCTTCGAATAGGTATAAATTAATTTTTATTGGCAACCAAATCCAAGCTTGACTGTTTAATAAAAGGTTAAGCTGGGAGACCATCAGATATTGGTCGCAAATATTTCACAGTTTTTCACCTACTGAACTCAGTAATTGTTCATATTTTTTAACAGTCAACAGACTGCAATTCGACTACAAAAAATAGTTTTCTAACTCTAAGTCTAAATCTTGGTTAATCTGCGTCAATTTCCACTTAACCACAACAGCTCTTTCATCATTTATGTGCTGACAATTGATTAGTTTCAGATCAGGCAGCGGCAACGGCATTTATTTACCACAGTTTTCGATTTTGATCAAACTCCCTTTGACTTCGGCGGGTTCAATTTCCCACCCGCTGCTGCGCTGTCAATACACTCCATTCATTATTTATTTGTTGTGGCGAAAGTTTTTCATTTTTCGCAAATTCATGCCTTGTCTTAGCAGCTTCTGTTGCACATTTTGTTAACAACAACAGCAACAACTACGAATTTTGTTGGCTAATTATTTATCGCATGTTTTATGGCATGTTGAGGTGTCTACGTTCACATGTAAATATATGTTTATTTATGACTGCAGCAACTCTAGTTGACTCTCTGACTCTCCCCCAACCCAATGTGTCTGGGTATTAGCTACTGTGCCTGGCCAGCATATTGATTGATTAGCTTACTCGATGGCCTCTGGCAGAGATTTGCATTGGCCGGAGCGAGCGGGAGAGTGGGAGAATGGGACGCAGTGAGAGTTTCGAATTTCTAATTTGAATTCAACAGAATTTGATAGAGCGCTGACAATAGATCTTCGAATGAGTTGGGTGGTGCGAGGGCTGTCATTAGAGAATACAGCGCATAACTTTCTTTCACATCATTAAAAATGACCAAAAGTCCAACAAAAACAAATTAGACAACAACATGACAAAAGTCCAACTAATAGTATCCGCTTTATAGAATCGACTGATGAGCGCCAAACCAGAAAGCATTGCATGTCTGCTTTTTAAGGCCCGTTTTATGATGGTTAAAAGGAAGTATATTGGTTCTCAACTATGCTCTCTCTACTCTCTACTCTCTACTCTCTACTCTCTACTCTCTACTCTCTACTCTCTACTCTCTACTCTCTACTCTCTACTCTCTACTCTCTACTCTCTACTCTCTACTCTCTACTCTCTACTCTCTACTCTCTACTCTCTACTCTACTCTCTACTCTCTACTCTCTACTCTCTACTCTCTACTCTCTACTCTCTACTCTCTACTCTCTACTCTCTACTCTCTACTCTCTACTCTCTACTCTCTACTCTCTACTCTACTCTCTACTCTCTACTCTACTCTCTACTCTCTACTCTCTACTCTCTACTCTCTACTCTCTACTCTACTCTCTACTCTCTACTCTCTACTCTCTACTCTCTACTCTCTACTCTCCCATCATCTCCAATTCGAGCGAGCATCATGCAGTCGCCTATCTTGCATTTTTCGTTATGTTCTACGTAAATTTCTTCATTTCTTCTGGTTGGCCAGCTTTTACTCCACTAATTAGCCACGTTTTGGAGCGCTGACATGCAAGCTACATCCAAAAAAAAAAAAAAATTAGGGTGCCCCACAGGTTGAGGCGCTTATGAATTTAATTGCACAACATTACGTCGAGGCCTTATCAATTTTCCCTGGCATAATTATTCTTAATACATTTCTTCTTCTTCAAGATGTTTTTTCTTCTGGCTGCGCCTCTTCCTCAGCGGCGCTGACACAGGAAGCTGGGAGAAAGATTTCACCTGCCAACTCTTTTTTATGAGTCTGTTTTTTTTTTTTTTTTGCCTTAGAAAGTGAAATTTTAACGGCGTTTGTAATTTGCCACCACGCCTCCCGCCTCCCGCGC